GTGCTGCCAGCCCAAAGGCAGGATGTTCGAATTCACCAGCAAGAAGGGCAATCTCCTCCTGTGAGATTTATAGACTCTGAACCTCTCAGAGATTCAGCTCTGAATCAGTTAGGAGTCCGACTCAATGGCAACGGGAGAGTGTCTGTAAGGTAGGAATTAATTTGTCACCAGTCATCTCATTTTATAGATGAAGAAATTGGATGTCATTTAAATAAACAGCCACAGCCAGTAAGTGCTAGTGTTGGGATTTAAATCCAAGTACGTGGATTATATAGTTCCTGTTGTCATAATGCCCCTGTCAGGAAAGCAAGTAAAAAAGTTACTATGACTATCATTTATTTGTTGATGGAGAGAATGCTTTCTCACTGAAAATAGAAGTCGCCAAGACATGCACTGAAGCTGAAGGTATCTTAACTACCTTGGGGTAACTGGGACTGGGTCAAATGGACATGGAACTTCAGTCCCTTCCCCTCCCCCTTAACTGGAAGCCCTTTCCTGGATCCCCTCACTGTATGAAGCCAGAAAACTATTTAAGAAGTTCGTTCATTAAAAATGCAAACTCCTGGGCCCTACCTCAGACCTGCGCACTCACAGACTGTGAAGGTGATGCCCAGAAATATGCTTCCAAGTGACTCTGAAGCTGAGAACAACTGTCCCTCCTCCACCTGAGATCAGTCAGAGACCCAGAAGTTTCCACGTCAGGCTGTCCCACAGCTCAGGCAGGAGAGTGAAGGTCAGAGCAGTGCTGGTGAGAGTCCAGGAGACCCCAGAGTCTGTGTGGAGGCCCAGCTGGGTCCAGCTCTGTGTGTGTGTGTGTGTGTGTGTGTGTGTGTGTGCGCGCGCGCGTGTGTGTGTGTGTGTGTGTAAGGCCATATGGCGAAGGCCTGGCTCATGAAATCAGGGGAGAGCTTTGTATTTTTCTATTGGCTGGCCCCATAAATCCACTGACTAGGCTAGGCTACAGCCCAGAGAAAATGCAGCACATGACCAAGGAAGAAAGAAACTCAGGGCATGAGACAAGGACACAAATTTCCAACTCTCCAGAGAACGAAAGCGCAGGAAAAGTGCTGGAAAGGTGATAAAAGGCAAAGGGCGACATGGCCAGAGAAGGCCCTTGGGGAGGAAAAGGATTCACAGAAGGTGGAGGTGGAGATAGGAGAGGGCCTGGTGAGGGGAGAGGTGGAGTGATGGAGAGTCTTGAAAGGTGGGGATAAGGCTACAGCAGGGTTTAGAGGGAATCACGTCAGCTGAGGGGCCTGGGGAGGATGAGGTACGATAGAGGAAGTGCTGGAGAGGATGGAAGCGTGTGTGGGAGGCACAGAGAGGATGGGGGGCAGGGGGTCCAAAAGAAATGTGTTGGCTGTTTTGGTTGAGCATAGTGTAAGACGACTTCTCCTGGCTCTGATTCTTCAGACCAATTTTAAAGATGAGACAGTATGCTAATACTTGAGCCAAGTATTTATAATCTACATCTATGGAATCCCAGAACACTAAATTGTTCTTATGCAAAATCTACTCTTGGACCAGGAGGCAGTTGTCAGAACAGAACAAGGAGACACTGCATGGTTCAAAATTGGGAAGGGTGTATGCCAGGGATGTGTCCTATCTCCCTGTCTTTTCAATCTATATGCAGAACAGATTCTCTGAAAGGCTAGGCTCTTTGAGGAGAAATAGGGCATCAGGATTGGATGTAGACTCATCAACAATCTGTGTTATGCAAATGACAAAACCCTGCTTGCTGGACCTGAGGAGGAACTGAAGTGCTTGCTGCAGAAGGTCAAGAACCTTCAATATGAACTGAAGGTCAATATCAAGAAAACAGATTCTCACCACTGGGCCGATTGGCAGCATCATAATAGATGGTGAAGAGACTGAGACAGTCAATAGCTTCAGTTTGCTTGGTTCTACAATCAACATTCCTGGTACCAGCAGCCAGGAAATTAAAAGACTAATTGCATTGGGAAAGTCTGCTGTCAGAGACCTCTTCAAAGTACTGAAGAGCAATGATGTCAGTCTGGAGCTTAAGGTGTACCCGATACAGGTAATGGTCTTTGCAATTACTTGCTATGCATCAGAAAGCTGGTCAATGAGTAGGGATGATCGAAAGAGAATTGATGCCTTTGAGTTGTGGTGCTGGAGAAGAGTATGCCATGGACTGCTAGGAAAACAAGTTCATCCTGGAGGCGGTGAAGCCAGGCTGCTCCTTGGAGGCAAGGATTCTGAGGCTTTGTCTGATATACTTTGGATATGTTTCAAGGAGGGACCAGTCCTTGGAGAGGGACATCATGTTTGGGAGGCTGGAGCGACAGTGCAAGAGAGGAAGACCCTCGATGAGGTGGATTGATTCAGTGACTGGGGTAATGGGGATAGGCATGTTGGAGATAATAAGATTGGCACAGGACAGATCAGGGTTTAGGGCTGTTGTGCATAGAGTCGTTATGAGTTGCAAGGGACTCAACGGTACGTAACAGCAACAACAACAACAACCACCATCACTTCTGTGGTGTCAAAGGTTTATAGTTATAAAAAAGGAGAACTATTTATTGTTCAAAATGTCTTTCCTAATCATTGTTTCACTTATTTTGTGCTGAAGTATTTATTGTATTTAGGAGTGAGGATTAGGGTGGCATCCAAGCCCCACCATACTAGAGGCTGATAGAAGCTCTTGGGCCTCCAGAGCAAGCTCTCTCTTTTTGGGACACCCGCCTTCCAACTATACTGCAACTGATACTATACAATGTTCAGCAGTCTGCAAAACTGGCCTGAAGACCTACAGTCACATGATTCATTCCCCTGATGGGTCTGAGTCACTGGGATACCTTCCAGCAAACCACTGAACTCAAGGGACACAGAAAAGTGAGGGAAATGAATGAAGGAGGGACTGTCGATGTTGGAGATCATGAAGTTATAGAGCAGATCAACATTTCGGACTCTACATTTCTTTTAACTGGTTTGCTACTAATCTTCTTGCTGTTATGTGCCATCAAGTTGCCTGAAACTCATAGCGATCCTATGCACAATGGCTTTTAACTCTGCCCTATCCAGAGCTAACGTGACTGTCTCCAACACACCTACATCCATTACCCCAGTTACTGAGTCAATCCATCTCATCCAGGGTCTTCCTCTCTTGCACTGACCCTCTACCCTTCCAAGGTTGATGTCCTTCTCCAAGGGTTGGTCTTTCCTGGCCACATGCTCAAAGTATGTCAGCCAGGGCTTCAAATACAACCTCTTAGAGGACAGAGTTAACCACATGCTTAGAATTGTGCCCCATGCTTTTTCTCAATTTAGTTAAAAACACTGTGCTATCTGACAATTTTATTAAACCGATAGGCATTTCATGTAAGTGATTTTTGCTGTGCGACTTGGAGAAGGTGCAGAAGTTCCAGTGAAGGTCCAGGATGATTCAGGCCCAAAGCTGCATTCAACAGCCTGGTTAGGGTACCAGAACACACAGCCCCCTGGGGTTCAGCCACCACAAGGCTGCAGGCTTATTCTAAAGGCCACAAACTAGAATGGGTTAAACAGATGTTTCCTACTCCAGCAGGGTGGCCTCTCGCCAACAGCTATCAAGTCTGAAACTGGAAAGTGAGGAGGAGAAAGAAAAATGTGGTTTGGCTCTATAAATGTGATGCTAACTACAGCCATTCGTGCAAACTGCTTTCCATTAATGTTTAATCATGTATCATGAAGTATAATAACAATATGCATTTCACGAACTACGTACCAGATAAGCTGAGTTTTATTTACATCCATGTAAGCCAGTCTTTCCCTGGTCTTGCTTTGGTAGCCTGGCTGGCTGTGGGCTAATATGTCTTTACTCGATAAAAGGACAGGATGTAATACTCAGCACATAGGCAGCTCTGTCTTCTAAGAGGTAGATAACAGACACTTGGCTCAAGTATTAGTATACTGTCTAGTCTTTAGATCTTGGCTGAAAAAGTAGAATCTCAATTCTACTTACAATTTAAGTCTGCTTACCCTTTTCTGTTTTCAAGACCCCTAAAATGTCCCTTACTAACACCACTAAATCCCAGCAAACCTTTAAAACAGAGCCTGAATAATCGTTTCAAGTCAACATTAATAATTCATTCTAAATCTACACTTCAGAGAAGAGAATAAGCTACAGGAACAGGTCCACAGGGTACAATCTTGCAGTTCAGAGTAGACTTAATAAAAGAAGCTGTGCTTGTAAAAATAGGTAAGGGACTGGCTTCTAACCAAAAGGTTGGCAGTTCAAACACACTTTCTCAATGGGAGAAAGACCTAGTGACCTACTCCCCAAAGAGATTACAGCCAAGATAACCCAGGGAGGTAGATCTGCTCTGTCACGGGTCACTACAGTCAAGAATGACTCGATGACACACAATAACAACAGTTAGTAAGTGCAGTAGATGAAAGGCTGGTACAGCAGTTCTTAAAGTATCAGCTTGAATGCAAAGGACCCTAGTGCACACATCAAGTGGGCTACTTCTGAGACGGTAACTCCACTGACTTCTCCAGCTCTTCATGGTGGCCTGTTCAGCACCCAGCTCCAGTCAAGGAGATGGGACGGCACGGTGGAGGGGGTGATGTTAGACGCCATCAAGCCAACTAGGACCCACAGTGATGCTGTGAACAGCAGATCTGAGCATTGCCCTATCCAATTCTCATGAATTGGGGTGACATGGAAGTAAACAAAAAATACACAAGTTATCATCTTTACCCTCAGAAATACTGTAACTGGCTTGGGTGAGGGAGCTTAGAAATATAAGATGGACCTAGATGAAAGTCCCTTGCAGAAGAAGTAAGGGCTCTGTGGAAAAAAAAAGAAGAAGAAAAAAAAGGAAGCCCTTCCATGAGATGGACTGGCACACCAGCTGCAATCACGGGCTCAAACGACGGTGCAGGCCTGGGCAGGGCTGCATTTTTTTGCATATACTGTCATTATGAGCCAGAGCCTAACAGCAGATAGAAGGAGAGAGAAGGACAGCAGAACACACGTCAGCCAGCATTCTTACTTTTGCAAGTCTTCTCATCCGAGTTGAGGGTGTATCCTTGCTTACATTTGCAGACATAGGAGCCAGGGGTGTTGATGCAGAAGTGGGCACAGTTATGCTCCAAGACGCTGCACATGTGGACCGCTGAAAGGGAAGGCATAACACGTTAAGTGAACGGTGATGCTACCTCTTAATTCACTCCACTCAACATTTAGGCAGAATCCAATCCATAGAGGAAGGTCCTGGAAGGCACCAACAATTTGCACTCATAAATTAAAGCATACCATGGGCCACCAAGAAAACAAATATGTCTGTCTTGGAGATGGTGAAACCAAGTCTCTCCCTGGAGGTTAGGATTTTGAAGCTCCATCTCACATACTTTGGGCACATGGCCAGGAGAGACTGGAGAAAGACATCATGCTTGGAAGGATGGACAGACAGCACAAGAGAGGAAGACCCCGGATGAGATGGATTGATACAGTAACCAGGGCAATGGGGGTTGGTGTGTCGGAATCAGTGAGGCTGGCTAAGGACAGGGCAGGCTTCATGCTGTACAATAGGGTTGCTATGGGTCACAGGCAACTCAACGGCACATAACAACCACAACAAATGAAAGCGCTAGTGGCTTAGTCCTGAGGGAGTTGTATTGCTAACATGAAGTCTGATCTTCTCTGATAGTTTAAATTCACCCGTGGCTCTATGAGAAATACGAGTGATCTCCTCCTGTGCCATTTACAACCTTGGAAACCTAATGGAGGGTCAGCTCTGAACGGGTTTTTACTTGATATCAGTGAGTGAGTGAGTCACTTTAAAAAGGAGCTCTGAGGTGCGGGGGGGGGGGGTTGTGTACCAATGAGGGAGTTTTTCTTTTGCTTTTCAAGGAGAGGAGCAAATGGGGGGGGAGGGGTTTGTGCGGGGAGAAGGGTGCAACAATGAATGAATGGAATCCCAAAATCTCTGTAGATGTTCATTGAAATGAAAAATAAACAACCTAAATTTAAAAAAAAAAAAAAAAAGGAGCTCTGGTGACAGTGTGCTACATGTCAGCTTACTAACCCCAAGATCAGCAGATCAAATCCATTCACCACTCTATGGGAGAAAGATGAGGCAATCTGCTCATGCTACCTGTTAGAGCCTTGAAAATGAAGGGATTTGGCTTAGTGGGTGTTAAGTCACACACAGGCTAGCATTCAAACTCACATGATAGGGTCAGAGAGGGAAGTCTGGAGAGCTTTGCCATCATGATTACAGCCAAAGAGAAACCTTTTGTAACACAGTTCTACTATGTACACACAGGCTATCATGAGTCAGAATCAACCCGATGGCAAGTAACATCAACAACTCTGTGGAAGAGAAGGTAGGGTCCAAGGAGAAAGAAGCAACAATCTTCATCTTTAAGGGACTTTATAGTCCACAGATGGACAAAATAGGCCCTGGTACACGACCCCAGCAAGATACAGATTAAGAGCTATGTGGGTTCAAAAAGAAATGGTGTCAGGCTGACCCATATGAAACTGCTGACACTCGACTATTTTTGATGTGCAAAGAAATTTTGGAGAGTTGAACCTAGTAATAACTATTTGGTGGATCAGGGGGATGAGAGAGTCTGCTGACATCTGAGAGGGATCTGGCTAACGTGTAGCTCTTCAATTGTGGCAAAAGACTTGGAGCAAAAGCTGTAGTTTAACAAGGATGTGTTAAGCAATCAAGGGTTTCTCAGGAAAAGAATACTCAAAGCAATATAGTTTTTAATGCGTGAGAATTACAAGTGCTACTGGGGTGAAAAACGCATTTCTATATTTCATGTCTCTGTGAGCTTCATCTCCCAATTTAAAATATTCCTGCATTTACTTTATTATGAAATATCTCTGCCTTCAGATACACTGAGTCTTGCATAAGTCAGCCTGGAGCTCATAAAAATTCCCATTGTTTTCTGTCTCTTAACTTATGACTTTATTCAATATACTGCAACTTGAACATATCTAAAATTAAAAACATCAGTATAAACAGCACGAGTTATGCAAGTGTTCTCATAAACACAAATGATGTCTATATGTAGAAATATATTTTTATGAAGCCAAAATAAAACGGGTTCTCAAAAAAGTAAGAGCACTCTCATTAATCAATCCTTAGGAAAACCCAGCCTCTGGGGAGATAGATGGTGTGCTTGGAGTCAGGCTCTTCACTTGGAAGTAAGAGATACAGTAGGCAAGAATAGTACGTGGAGTGAAACACTTTATTTCATAACGATACAATTTAGAAGGTATTGTTCTGAGTTTTAATTGCTCATGTTATTGTTCCTATAAAGATATAAGTAATATTAGGGCAATTCATTGCTTAAATCCAATCAGTCATTTATTATTTCTACACAAAATAGTTTGTATGACCTTGGGCAATTTCCTTAACCTCTTTGTTTAAAATGGTGATGGCCTAGTGGTATGGAGTTGCATTGTCAGCTCAAAGGCATGTGGTTTGAATCCACCAGCTGCTCCACAGGGGAAAGATGGGCAATCTCCTCCTATGCAATTTACAACCTCTGAAACCCCACTGGTCAGCTATCAGTCAGTTCCCACTCAATGGCACATAATAACAACAGTACACAAGAGGAAGAAGCCCTAGTGACTTAGTGGATAAAGAGTTGTGCTGCCAATTCAAAGGTAGGCAGTTCAAATCCACCAGCTGCTCCATTGGGGCTGAGGAGAGATGGGGAATCTCCTCCTGTGTGATTTATAGTCTCTGAAAACCCACTGGAGGGTCATCTACAAGTTGGTTCTGCCTCAAGAGCGATGAGAGAGAAACAACCTACACAAGGGCCTTAGGAGTAGAAAAGGAAAAGGTAAAGCACCTTCCTGGGCCCTTGAGAGAGAGAGAGAGAGAGAGGAGTGAGAGAGAGAGAGGAGTTCCTGACTTTCTGCCCTGAGATAAACTTTAAATCTCAAACCAAAACTTTTACCTGATTAGCCAGTTAGCTGAAAAAATAAGGAATGTCACCCTGGAATGCGGCACACTTTTACAAAATTATCTAGTAGCTATAAAACGAACAGACAAAAATTAATCTCAAGATAAGGTTGGAAGATTAAGTTAATAAAAACAGGACAACGAGGACAAAAATAATGAGAAAGCTGACAAAATGTGAAGAATGTTACCAATGTCACTGAGCAGGTCAGGTAGAACTTGATGAACAGGAGCCTCTTTTGCTGTTTGTGCTTTGACTCCAAACACAATACAATAGTAGAAAACAAGCAGGTGAAAGCTTAGCAGAATGCCTGATAACTGGTGAAGGGTGGACAGTTTAATGGATGTTAACTGTGCGTGTTGTCATGTACCATTGTGTCATGTATGACTCTGATGGCACGTCAAAACCCTTGAAATTGGCTTTTCTAGCTATTGCAATGAATAAGGACGAAAGAAAAAAGAATTGACACCTTTGAGCTGTACTGTTGGAGAAGAGCATAGAACATCCCATGGATGACCAAGAGAATAAACAGTTATGTCCTGGAGAGGATGCAGCCAGAGTGGTCTTTGGAGGCAAGAATGATGAGGCTTCACCTCACATACTTTGGGCATGTTGCTATTCCATGGAGAAGGACATGATGCTAGAAAGGGTGGAGGGCTGACAAAGGAGAGAAAGACCCTCAACCAGGTGTACTGACATGGTGACAGCCACAATGGGCTCTTGTGTGTCAGGAAGGGTGAGGATGGTGCAGGATAAAATAGGGTTGAGATCTTTTGTTCATAGGGTCACTATGAGTCATACTTGACTTGATGGCACCTAACAAGAACAACAACAAACCATTGTGTTAACACACGTTGGGGCATGGTCTCCAGCTAACTCCAGACACATGGTCTTGCAAACAATCAACAGTTGTGGGTTCAATATAAAAGAGTGCTTTCCACACTGTGAGGGGCAACAACAGTGGTGGAGAAAGAGTGAAAAGACTGCGGTACTGCTTTGAGACAAACCAGAGGAATCTTGGAGATGGAGCCACAGTAAAAGAGTATGCTTGCTGGATGATTGAAGGAAAAGCTGACTTGTAACTGCTCTGAGATAAAGTTTACTGAGCAATAGAGGAAATTAGCTGCTTCTTGAATTTGTGCTGCTGAACTGAACCTGGACTTCTACTGATTAAGGAATTGTGTTTTGTTAATCTGGCTCGGGACTGTTGGACTAAACCTGGACTTGCATCACGTGATATTTTTTTGCATTCCCCACTCCCCACCCTATTTTCCTCATAAAAATGTCTGTGAGTCAGTAATGAACTAACAGACCCAATGATTGGTAGAAATAGGTTCAGGAGCATGTGGGATGTCTTGTCCGACTATGCAGCTATGTGCATGGTTCTATATAGATATTACCGATGGGGAAAGTTCCCCTTTATGAAGTGAGTAGCTGTCAGTCTTAGCCATCCCCATGTTGCACTTGTTCTTTTCACAGACTCACAGTGACTGTATAAACAATAGATATGAACCCTGTACTATCCTGTGACATCCTCCCCCCACACACCTGAGCCCATTGCCTCAGTCACTGTAGCATTTCATCTCACTGTTATATATTCATAGGAAAAGATAGTGGTATTTTCAATGTACTTTATTATACACACATAAGCTCATTGATCAGAAGAATTATTGTATTTCGGACATAATGACAGTTCTGATGAGAGCACTTAAGCCAAACCAAACTCACCACCATTGGGTTTATTCCATCTCATCACAACCGTTCATTGGTTTCTGAGGCTGTAAATCTTTATGAGAAGAGATGGCAAATTTCTCTCCTTTGGAGCAGGTGGTGGATGCAAACTGCTGATCTTGTGGTTAGATTACATACTAAATCACCTCCCTTGATAGTGTTACCTGGTATGATCTGTATCTCCACACCCACCAAGGAGGACACTGTCTGGTCTTGGTGGAGTGGGACTATTAAGTGTTAGTCCAACTCACGTTCCATAATGCCAAGCTAAGTTGACAAGCAGGTCTGCTGTGTTCAGAGTGACCCATAGGCAAGGGTAGAACAGCCCCACAGGATTTCCAAGGCTGCAGCCTTTACAGAAGGAGACTGCCACATCTTTCTCCCATGGATCGACTGGCAGAAAGGAGGCACCAAAAAGTTAATTAGAAGCAGCCCTGTGCACCTTACACTGAACCCA